AACACCAACACCAGCATCTTTCAGCCTCTCCAACCCACAGTGACAGTGATGACTTAAAGTTTTTTAAAAACAAGATGGCTACCACACCAGCCTCCTGCTCCCCGCAGACCTGGCCCCAGCAACCTGGCTCCCTACAGCAGATGCCAGGGGACACCCCAGCTTCCAGTCAATCACAGGAAGTCACTGCTCACAAAGTCCCGCGTCAGTCTCCATGGGCTACCACCGAGCTGCGGCCACCTGCACTCTCCTAGGCTGGCGATGACAAAGGTGCCCACTGCTCCCCTGTGCAGGGCTCTGTGGGACACACTTCTGACACAGGCCACTGCCTCTGCCAGCCAAGTGTGTGCTGTTCAAAGCCCAGGGGTTCACACCACATACTACTCCTTCGGTCGCTTTTAACAAGCTGGGATTTGGACACACAACACAGAGCATCAATTCTGAGCAGAGCAGTATTTTACTAAAAAGTCAATCAGGGCTGGAAACCCCAGCTACTGGTTTAGCAGCGTCCACAGTACACACCACCTCTAAGGTGACTGACACCAGAAGGAAGAAGACAAGATATGGTGGCCTCTTCGTGTGACTCACAGGCCTGGCGTCTCCTCAGGTCAGTGGCACTGAAGAAGCTTGACGTTTGTGTCGCCTGCATCCCCACCTTGCACTGACCACCACATTGGTGTCTGTCTCTCTGGGCTGTGCATGTGACTAACAGGCACCATCCATGGGGGAGCATGGCAGGGAAAGGCCGGCAACCTATGAGGAGTGGTGCGTAACGAGGTGGGACAGGCCGGGAAGCCAGGAGGGAAGGGGACAACTGCGACCCCAGGAAGGGCGCCAGGCACAGCCAGCAAGGAGACCGAGACACCCTGGGGCAAAAACAGGTCCCCAAGGGGCCTGGAGCCAGGCCTGGGTGCAGGTCTCACCGCAAGGCAGTCACCAGAGTTGTGAGCTCAGAGCCAGGTCCCCACACCAGCAGCAACTGCGTGACCAACAATCTGTGCCCAGCAAGCACAGGGCCCACAGTTTACCACAGCAAACGGAGACCCCAACCCTCTGAATTTCGAGGAATCCAATTCAATTATCGGAAATGCAGATCCCAAATCCAAAATGACACCAGAGTATCTGGGTTTCTTTAAATTCTGGAATCTTGGCACACAGGTACAGGAAGTGGAGGCGGGACTCACACGCACAGCCTGGGAGGCAGTGTCCCTGGCACAGTGCAGGTCAGCCACAGCCAGTCACGTCTTGGGTCGGAGCAGACCTCCCCTGGTGGCACAGGTCGGCCCCAGGGGAGTTTCCCTGCCCCAGCCCTGTGTTTAGCACTGCAGCCCCGCCCTGCCCTTCCAAAGTAAGTGATAACCCTGGACCCTCCTCTCTCAGAGGACCCTTGCTGTCCCAGATCCTCTCCTGGGGAAGGAGACTTGCTCTTGCCTCTCTGTCACCCCCTCACACAGTTGTTTGTCCTGTCTTATCTGTCCTGCCCAGAACCACTCCAATCCAGATTCAGCCAGCCCAATGCAGCTGTTCCCTGAGCCCATTCTGAGTCTGGGATCCAACATCCTCAGGGACGGGGACCGGGGAGGGTCTCAGGAACCGTGACCACCACATCCCGGAGCCACACGAGTCTTCCCAAAGCCGACCACAGCACAAATGAAAAGGACAAGCTGTTTCACTCCATGGGGATAAATGGGGAAATCTTTCTCTCTGGTCATGCCTGAAGCTGAATTCAGATGGGGTCTCGAGTCCCAAACACCTCTTCCAAAGTGACTCACCTTGAAGCTACTCTGCTCTCAGCAGCTATGATAAGCATTCGCCCAGTAAATTAAAAGAACTAAGAACACGAAGTTAGTTAACTGCCACCTCCCAGCGGTCATTCCGGCTGGTCATTCAGTCGCGAAGGCCACCCAGGCCGCCGCTCAGGACCTCTGCTTGCAGCGCCTTCCTTTCTCTCCCACCCGCAGCTGCAGTCCATCCTCCCCACCACCCCAGTTTCAGCAAAAATGGGAAGGCGTAGGAACATTGAGTGGGAAGGGTGCAGCCCACCCTCTCATGGAGCCTGAGAATCCCAGAACTCAGGGGGCTGAGGCAGGAGGGTTGCAGGTTAAAGCCCAGCCTGAGCGACTTAAAGACTTAGCAAGACCCTGCCTCAAACAAAAAATGGCTGGGGGTGGAGCTCAGGGCAAAGGCCCTGGGTCAGTCCCCTGAACCAGGAAAAACTGAGGCGTGCCGATAATCACTACACAGCGAGAGGACGTCCTGGTGCAGCACAGCCAGGCCCTTCGAGGAACAGTAGGCCTCCAGGCAGTCGGCCACACAGACCCCACCGAGAAGGACTAGGGCTAGGACTGTGCCCGCACAGTGTGTGGCGTCTCCTGCAGTGCAGCCAGAAGCAAGGCTGCTTAAATGGGGTGCTCAACTGTGCTGTGCTGCGGAGCGGATCGCAGTACACCGCTCAGTCACACTCACGCTCACACTCCACTGAGGAGTGGGAGGGGCTGCACTGAGGGCAGAACAGCAGGACCCCAGGGAGCCAGGTCTGCGCAGGTGGCCAAACTGCAAGAGATTAACACCAGGGCCTCGGAAGCAAGCGGAACCAGCTGAGACCCAGCCACCCTGACACCAGCTTGCTCCCTGCAGCAGTCTCTCCCAGGAAACCAGCACGCATTTCAAAACTGCCCCGAAACTCTCAGAGCCAGGAAGGACCAGTCCACTTGCTCAGCCTCGGTGGTGCTGGCAATGGAATCCAGTCTCTGCACGAAACAAGTGCTCATCACTGGCTGCCCCCAGCCCAGGCCTGTCCAAGACGAGGCCAGCTCCAACTTGATCTTCTTAGACCCCTGCCGGCTTTATATCTCTATCAGGAAAATGACGACACCACTGATTTAGAGGGAAAGGTCAAGGAGAATCCTGGGCGCCCAGGGCAGTGTGGCCTTATGGTCCCAAAGCAGTCCTGAGGCTACAAGGCTTCCTCAGGAAACCTGACCCAGGGGCTGGAGATCTAGCTCAGTGGTTTTGCTGCCTTCCTTGTAAATGCAAGGTGCTGAGTTTGATGCCCAGTACCAGAAAAAAGAGAAAAGAAAGTGTTAAGAAAATCTGATCCACCATGCTGGGTTTTACTCTTTTTTTTTTTTTTTTTTTGATGCCCAGTACCAGAAAAGAGAGAAAAGAAAGTGTTAAGAAAACCTGATCCACCATGCTGGGTTTTACGCTTTTTTTTTTTTTTTTTTGGTACCAGGCATCAAACTCAGGACCTTGTTCTTGCCAGACAGGCACAGCACCACTGAGCTACATCCCAGGCCCAACACTGCTCTGTTTTGAGGAACATGATACAAGAAGGGCTTTTCTTCAGGCCTCGACTGGAACTGCCATGTGGCCCCTCAGAGCTTGGGAACAGAAGGTTTCTCTCCAGTGGCACAGGAGAGCCACTGTGCCAGCCTCCTCTGTTCCCAACCCTGGGGCAGCCATTTCTGCTCATGCCTGGGCCTTGTAGTATCACTCAGTGAGGGCAGGCAGGGTGGCAGCGGCTCCTGCCCTGCTGGGCCCCTTGGGGCAGCTTCCTGCAGACCCTCCCAGGGCAGCACTCCAAGCCAGCCCTCCCCACCTTCCTGGGACTCCCATGAGGCCTCTCCAATACCTGTTGTCCGAGGGCAAGAAAGCAAGCTTTCCATTCCACCTGATCTGCCATGACTACCTGCAATACCTCTGCAGGTGACAGAACCCTGCCCAGCCTGGGTTCTGCCATCCATGCTCTGCTCGCCCCTAGCCCCACAACCCCCGGCAGGTCCCCAGGATTCTGCACTCCAGAGGTTCCACCTGTAGATCTCCCAGGATGAGACAGCTAAGTGTTGCCTCGCAACCCTCAAATCTGAAGCAGCTGTCCCGAGCTCCCTGCACTGGCATCCTCCCCGGCACGCAGCAACCCGGGCAGGGCCCTGGCCAGCAGGCATCATACAAGACCCATGCACAGGGCTGTCCCAAACAGTCACCCAGCAACCAGGCTAGTGAGGAGGAAGGAAGGGCCGGGCTCCCTGGGACTTCACTGGGACTCACTCCTTGGTGTGCTCTCAGCACACCCACCTGTGGGGACCTCTTCCCTGTGCTGTCCAGACAGCCAAGAGGCTGCACACAAGACTCCCGCGGGGCCGTCCCAAGAGCCTGTGGGTCCCCAGGCCAGATTCCGCCAGACATGCCAAGTGCCCACAGCCCCACAGCCTCCTCCAGTCCTGGGTCTCTTCCTCAACAGCATGGACTCCAGTGCAGAGAGAGCAAACATCTCGGACACCCGCCCTGCGAACACCACCATCACCCATGACTACACCCCTCTCCTCAGCTGCAGAAGCGAAGAGCTGCAAGCTCTGGGGCAGGACTCTGGCACAGAGAAGCCAGTCTACAGCCCCCTTTGCTCTTCCTCCACCTCCCCGACACCTGAGAGAGCCACCAACCTTCCATCAGCTTGGCTCTCCACAGGAAAGACGTCTCCATTTTTCCTTTCTCGGCTCTAAATAATTATGGTTATGCTCTGAAGAGCAGTACTGGAGTCAACTGTCAGCCAAAGGAGTACCACAGCCACTGTGCATCCTGTCTCGGACCTGAACCCCTTCTGGCCCAGGTATCTGCAGCCTTGAGCACAGCGGGCTGGCAGGGGAGCCTGTCCAAATCCGTTTGGGGGCAGCTGACCGGGAACGCACAGCTTAATCTGCTGAAATGGGAAGCTCCTCCCTCAGAGCCCTGGGCACAAAGCACAGGCACAGGCCAGCAAAGGCTCCCAGGAGCAGCCCCAACCCGACGCCCCTGTGCAGTGGGGCCCGTAACCTCAGCCGTGTCCTCACTACCTGAGGGGCTGAAGCTGCCACTGTCACACTTCACCCATCATGGTTTTCTACCGCTTTCTATGCTGTGTCTTAAGGGGTTTGTGGTTAAAATATTTGAAACTTGAATAAATAGTACTAAGTTACAAATCTAAAAGAACAGCTGAGTATGTGTTTCAAAAGTTCAGTACTTACCAACCAAAGGAGCATCTGGATTGAAAATTTGGTTCCATTATCATCCATTATCAATTTGTTTTAAAGTATATTTTTTAGAAAAAAAAGGCTAAAAATGACCAGGCACATAAGTCTGTGAAACTGCTTTTCCTGCGTGCTTCTAGCAGACACTCTGGGGAGACAGGATGTTGGTGCTTTAACCATCTCATCTCAGTCTCCTCAACACCCCTTGGTCCCCGAGAGATTTCCTCGTACCGGCTTACCCCGGGAAGATGAGGACTTCAAGGTCCCGTCTGCCACTGCAATGTAAGTGTACCTTTCACACCAGTCTTATAGCTGTGTTCTCCTATCGGTTCCAGCCCATTAAAGAAATTGTTCTGCTCAGTACCTGGCACCCCGCCACTTAAGGGGTTCTTTCACACCAGTCTTATAGCTGTGTTCTCCTATCGGTTCCAGCCCATTAAAGAAATTGTTCTGCTCAGTACCTGGCACCCCGCCACACTTAAGGGGTGGAATGCAGACCTCACCCCCAGCCTCTCTCTCAGGACTCTCAGGGCACAGAAGTCTGCAGCCCATGAGCCACAGGCCATCCCAGCGTCTCCCCGCGGCCACCCCCGCAGCTGAGGAGCCAGACGGCACGGGGCTCCAACTAGCTCTAGAAAGATTTAAGGAGTGCCACACACCACAGCGGGTGACCCAAAGGGATGAGCGGCTGCAGTATTCCCAGAAAGCCCCAGACAGCTTCCTTCCCTCAGATAGCTTTGTTTCTACCACGTATAGAGGACGAGGTGCTAGAGGAACAGCTCTCCACAGAGGAGCACATCAGTCCGTGGCCACCCATCCCTCCTGATAAATAAATTCTTTCATTTTTAAAGTGTAAGCCTGTGCACATTTCTTTATAAGTCTAAATCTGGTTTCTCTGAATAGGCAAAAGTACAATTTCAAATGTCTTTCAGCTTTTCACTAAGACGCCTGAAGTCACAAGGCAATGACACGTGATATTGATAAGCAATTTTAATGGATGATTTGTTAACTGGCCTTTGAGGGTGACAAGTCTATAGAGAGGAACCCATCTTTCAGAACTGAATCTCAGCTTTGCTCTGGAACAAAACCTGATCTCAGCGAGCCGGCTACATTACTCAACAGAAAGGAATTTTTTCCGAACATGGTATCATCATATAAATCCAGGGTCCCATACCTGTACTTGAAAGATTTTTAGTTTCAAAACACAATTTCAGATTGGAAAATATGTGCAAATAGAACTAAACTTTTGAAAACAATGAGTAAGCAGAAGTTGTTGGCCTGTGAGCACATAATTACCTACAGAAACAGGTAAAAGCGTAGGTGTCCACTGACAAAGGAGACGGCAGTATCCCACTTATGTGTCCTAGACTCCCAAAATCAGATTTATTTTGCAACATCACAAAATAAGTAGAAATAATCCCAGTCCCTCTGCAACATTGCAAGATAGAATGTGAAAAGATAAAAAATTAAGCCATGATTGTTTCAATAGTTTGTTGTGTGGTGGCAGCAGTGGTGGCACTGGGGATTGAACCCAGGACTTTCTCACTGAGCTCCATCCCTGCCTTCCTCTTACTTACTAAACTGCCCAACCTGGGCTCAAACTTGTGATCCTCCTGTCTCAGCCTCCCAAACTGCCAGGACTTCAGGCATGTGCCATCATGCCCAGCTGCTCTTTTATAAAATAAACACTGTTTCCTGGAAAATATCATTGGTGTGGGGCTGGGCATACCGCTCACCACCACCACCACCACCAAAAACATCAGCTGTACCCCGGGTCAAGCTACATGACAACATCCGGTATGAAAGTATTTCAAACCCAGCAGTCACCAGACCCAGGTGGCTATTTAAACATAATTAAAATTATATACAGTTTCCCAAGTTCAGCCCCCCCACCCCACACCCACATTTCCGTCGCAGCGGCCACCTGTGGCTGGTGCCCACCATCCTGGACAGCACACAAGGAGGATGTTCTCGTGCCCCCTGCCACTGGGCCCCGTGGTGACACAGCCACTTCAGCCCCCTCCAGGCTTCTGTGTGGCACTGCCAAGCACTGAGTGAAGTTTGTTTATTTTCTTCAACTTACCATTTCAACAGCAGGTACATATACAAATATTTTTAAACTATTACCTGAAAAGAACGGTGAATGCTTTTAGAGTTTGGCAAGCCCAAAAAGAATCTTTGAGTATAACACTGAATAAATAAAAGTACTGAGTAGAAGACGTCTAATACGATTTGCAAATTGTCACTTTTGAGAGCAGCCTCCATTTGAGAGCCAAGTACAATGATTGATCACTAAAAAGTGATGCTCTAAAGGGCAAAGTGCAAATAACCCTCCGTTAAGGAGGAAAAGCAACGTTTAGGATGAAGGACCGAATCGTGGACCGGCCAGGACCCAGACACGGGACCCAGACTAGGACGCAGCAGGCCCCAGCTCTGGGTCAGGAGCACCTCCTGCAGAATGTCTATCTCCAGGGAAGACAGCCCCTCTGATAGCTGGCCTACTGAAACGCACCTCCAACTCTGGTTTTGGGTCCAATTATCACTTCTCTGCCCTAGACGAAAAAAGCATTTTATTCCACACCATTTGGTGAGAAAACAGATGAACAGTTCTCTTTGCACATTTTGAATACCATGCCAACATAAGGAGCAGGCTCTCTGGGATGCCTTTACAGCAGACCAGGAAATGTGGTTAAAGCCACAGAACTGCACACTTTAAATTGGCTAGAATGGTACATTTTAAATCACGTATATTTCACAACAACAACGTGTATCAGCCACACACCTATGACTCCAGCACTGAGGGAGGCTGAGACAGGAGGATGGAAGAAAGTATGTGACCCGCTGGGGAACTCAGTGAGACAGAATAAAGGGTGGGGAGGTAGCTCAGTGTAGTGCTCTCCTCGGTCCAACCTTGGCCAAAACAAGCACGTGGAAACGATCTGAGATGATCTAGTTCTCATCTAAAGCACGATGCTTTTCCTGAGACTGCTTAGAATTTTCCAAAGTAACAAAACGCAATAAACCTTCCTCATTACTTCTGGAATGAAAATCAACCCAAGCATACTGAAAGTTAAGGAAGAACAACGTATCTATAAAAGTTTCACCTTCGAGTACCGCAAATATCACAGTGGACGACCCTAAGTGAGGCCGCCCAAGCAGACGCCCTCGCGTATCACCCTACGCAGCTCGAACTCGGGTTTTATCCAACTCGGATTCCGAGTGGCGCTGACTGACCGATCCTCCTGTCCGGTCGCTCAGGCCAGGGCCCAGTCCTCACTTCACAGGGCTGGGCTGGGGGCCGCTGCTCCAGGCCACCCGCCTCCCCACCCGAGCCCCCGGACCTCTCGGGGAGAAGCCGCCCGGCCACGCAGC